GCCGCACGTGCGGCACGCTACGCTCCTGCGTACTCCGGCTAAGCGCGATCTGATTGATTAACTTTATTCGTTAATAACTCTGTAAATAATGGTCTGAGCCAAAATTGAAAGAGGAACTTTTAGTTCAAAATTTCATTCTCTTTCACGCCTTGAAATATTAATTAAGCGTTACGGGACACCCTGTATTGAACTTGCTAGTTAATATAAATAAGTTTAATCCTTTGCACGCGGGGTGTCATATCCAGTTACCGCGAGAAATTATGATGAAGAAAGCGATTGTGAACGTGCAATCTACGGACAATGCATGTTTCGCGTTGTCAGTGGTGGCCGCTCTATATCCAATTAAAAATCACTCGGAACGGGAATCGTCGTATCCGCATTATAAATCTGTGTTAAATCTCAAAGATATTGAATTTCCAATAACTTTAAGTCAAATAAAAAAGTTTGAGAATCTCAACGCAATCTCCATCAACGTATATACGATCGATATACATCGAGAACAAAGAACAAGTATCGATCCTACCGATTCGCCTCGCTGATACGAAGAAGGAGAAGCATGTCAACCTACTATATGTGGAGAAAGATGGTGAGGAACATTTCACATGGATCAAGAATTTGTGCCGCCTCGTGAGCTCGCAACTGAGCAAAAAGAAGAATAAAAAATACATTTGCGATAGGTATGAATAATAAAAATTAAAAATTTTTTTTGAAATAACAATAAATAATTCAACAATGTAAATAAAATAAATTGATTTTTCAGATGTCTGCACTATTTTAGTTCGAGCGAAAAGTTGGAGGTCCACACTATAGACTGCGGGGAGATGAACAAATGCGCGATCAGGTTACCAAGCGAAAACAAGTGGCTAAGTTTTAACAACTACAGCAGGAAAAAACGTGTCCCGTTTGTTGTGTATGCCGACTTGGAATGTATCCTGACAAAATGGGAGAGAGATCCGGAAACCGAGCTACAAATATCAGCATCATCAAGTATTTAGCATAGGTTATTACGTACACTGTTCGTATAATGACGCGTTATCAACGTATCAGTTTCGCCGCGATACGGATTGCGTTGCATGGTTCGCCGATGAATTAAAACGTTTAGCACACAAAATAAAATCTATTATATCCACTAATGTACCCATGGCAGATTTCACGCGAAACGATTGGGAAAGATTTCA